CAGCCTACCCTGTCTTTTCCAATAAAACTGTCTGGAAGGGGCATGTGCTGTTTTTATTGGGGTTCTCGCTTATCTCCTTTGATTAACAAAATGAGACCAAGGATAAGAGCAAGAAAACCAATTAGATGCTTATTAATGCCTATGTTATTAGCTTCAGATAATTAGCCCAGAGCAGTCAAAAATCAGAACTCTCTTTTCACACATGGCCAATCTGTGAAACATGATTCAGAGAGGGACAGCCTTCATTTAGTCATCATTAGCTCCATTCACCCGGTGCAGGCGCACTTCACAAATAAGGAACTTCTCAAACAGATAAACGAGGTCAAGGAAATGAAGCCCACGCATAGGTAGCAAGCACAACCTGTCTTCATCGTTCAACCTTCTTTTAAGGCTTTCAGCTACCAAGTTAACAGCTGCATTGCTAAGTGTGACATCTGCTGGATGAACTAGCAACAGACACTATTTAATACCAGAATTTATTTGCTGATCCCTCACGTCTAGTACATCATCACAGCCACATGACTTTACTTGGGAGTTCTGCACCTTCGTGTTGTCTGCTGCTCAAAATGTGTGTGACACCACAGATTACTAGATTACTCTAGTAATCTAGAGTAAAACGACAATAGTAAAGTAATAACCAGCTCTTCCCTTCATATCTGACCTTGGTTTAGCAGTTTTGATATTCAGAGGCTGCTGCTGCTGAGAGCTAGTTCAGGTCACCAATAGCAGACTCTGGTTTCCTTTAGCCATTCATAAACTCTCAGTCTGGGAGAACTCCCATATCCTGGATTTCTAGTTGACTGCAAAAGAAGGTTGCAGTATAGTACACACACTTTTGGCTTTTATGAATTGATAGAGGGCTGCAGTGCCTTATTTCCCACTCTGACATTTCAGCAATTATTTAGATCAACAACATTAGCTCAAGATTTCAAGTATTGGTCTCTAATGGGAACTGCCCTGGAACGCTGCTCAGAAGCTAGACCTGGGACATAATAGCTCACATCTCCATAGGGATAGGTGAGTGGGGGCACATTAACAATCAGGTTTCAGCCTTGTCACTGGCTTTCTATTGCCTTCCTAGCAATGTTCAATGTGCCAACTGAACCGCAGAAAGTTAAACTAGGTATAACTTTACAGAACAGCTTCACTCCATCACATCCCTTCACAATCAGTGTTAGAAACTGGGATTAAAAAGCTAGGAGCCAAAAGGCTCCTGGGACCTGGGTTGTGGGCACCCAAACAGAATGTCTAGTCGCCATTGGGGGGGTTGGCAGCACTTTTTATTTATTATTTTGATAAACATGAACGAATACGCAATTCACTTAAGTGACACATTGTTAATATCACATTTTTAGCAGAAATTGTTAATACATGTTTAATTTGGTGTTTACAATAAAAATATTGGTACCATGCTTCAGTTTTCAAAACACTCTACTCTTTATTATGAAACTCCTTAACATATTGTCTATCCTTCACATATACTTCAAAGAACATTCATTTCAGTAACCCTTGAGTGACAGCCAGGTACAAAAAATGGCACCCAGGCTTTTTGAGGTGCTCACAAATAGTGAATCTTTAGGTGGAAAATGTGTCTGGCGCCCTGCTAATTTTGAACCCTGTTAACATTTGTAGTATCCTGTCACAGCCTTTAGCCTCATTCACTTCTACCTCCAGTTGCACAAAAAGTTTTATCATAGTTTCTCCTTTCCATGGAGGCGCAAGTTACTGCAACAGCTAAGGCGACATTTTTCACCTTCACCGCATCAAGCAGTTGGTCCCTTACCTTTCCCGCCCCGACCTGGCCACAGTGATCCATGCGACAGTCATCTCCAGGCTTGACTACTGTAATTCGCTCTACACGGGGCTGCCCTTGAAGCTGTCCCAGAAACTCCAGCGGGTACAGAATGCTGCAGCGAGGCTCCTCACGGGGTCTCTGCCATGGGAGCATATTCCCCCAGTGCTTTTCAAGCTGCACTGGCTCCCGGTGGAGTACAGGGTAAGATTTAAGGTGCTGCTTTTGACCTTTAAAGCCCTTCACGGCCTAGGACCCTCGTACCTACGGGACCACCTCTCCTGGTATGCCCCACGGAGAGCCTCAAGGTCCATAAATAACAACACCCTAGTGGTCCCAGGCCCTAAGGAAGTTAGACTGGCTTCAACCAGAGCCAGGGCCTTTTCAACTCTGGCTCCGACCTGGTGGAACTCTCTGCCTCATGAGACCAGGGCCCTGCAGGATCTGATTTCTTTCCGCAGGGCCTGTAAGACAGAGTTGTTCCGCCTGGCCTTTGGCTTGGAGCCAATTTGATTCCCTCCCTCCCTCTCTTTCTTTTCTCTTTTCCTTCTCCTCCTGCGATGAGGCTACATTTTAATATTTTAATGTTCCAATATTTTAATGTTGTATTTTATTTTTGTTTTTAAGTTGTAATCATTCATCTTGTTTTTATTATTGCTTGTAAGCTGCTCTGAGCCCGGCCTTGGCTGGGGAGGGCGGGGTATAAAAATATTATTTATTATTATTATTATTATTATTATTATTATTATTATTATTATCACTGTTGCCAGTAACGTCTGAAACACACAAGCAGCATACTCCCCGAGTCCTGCCCACCTGATCACTACTCTCCCTCTTTGCCAGGTAAAGGTCCCATGCAACTGCCCCTTCACATACATTCCTAGATTTAAATACTCCTGGCACAGGACTCACACTAGTAACAGTAAGAGTAATTGAGGCACCAGCCCCTGCTTCATACTGAAAAAGGGAAAATATTCATCAGAGTCTGAAGTGAAGAGAATGTGAAATAGTGTTTTGCACAGCGAAAGGCTACTGAAGCTTTGTGCTACTGGAATTCTTAAGGACTGAATACCAAAAACAAGCCTGAGCACTAGGCTACATACTATAAATTCATTTACCATAGCAAGAAGCATCTGGTCAGAGAGATAAAATGTCAGTCACAGCTGCCAGCACCTCAGAGGGGATGGCAGGAACATAAGCATCTATGACAATTAAGTCACCCCAAATATTCAATCAGCTGGATCGTAAGCAACAAAGAAAGAGAAGTCCAAATAGGTCACAATGACCATTCCCTAAGAAAGAACCAGCTTGCCTTCTAAACTATAACTGCACTAGAGAAAAAGGAGCCAACCCAAAGCTATCTAGATGTTTTGCACTGCAACTCCCATCAGCACCAGCCAGCACACCAGGTTGGCAAAGACTGCCTTGGAAGCTTTTAAGTCTTCCAAGCATTTCTAGGAGTAATGTCCCTCTCATAAATCTACTTTCCTCTTCCCCAATCCAATTCCATGGCCCCCCAGATACTCTCCACAGCTTTCCTTTTTGTTTGCATGCACAGGCACAGGCACCCTTTCACTCAGCCCCCTTGTTCCTGTTGCTATGTACAGTGGTACCTCAGGTTAAGTACTTAATTCGTTCCGGAGGTCCGTACTTGACCTGAAACTGTTCTTAACCTGAAACACCACTTTAGCTAGTGGGGCCTCCTGCTGCTGCCACGCCGCTGGAGCACGATTTCTGTTCTCATCCTGAAGCAAAGTTCTTAACCTGAAGCACTATTTCTGGGTTAGCAGAGGCTGTAACCTGAAGCCTATGTAACTTGAAGCGTATGTAACCCGAGGTACCACTGTATCTTATATGGCTTTTTCTTTGTATTTATATTTTTAAAATGTATATGAACGTTTTAAGATGATCTATATCTGTAATGCCTAATAAAAGTTTGGAAAAAGAAAGAAAGCACTGACCGCCTCTTTTGATTAGACAATGGGGCAGCATAACAAACAGATACTTCTCTGAGACTATACATCATCAGTACTTTAATTAAATGCAATCCCATTCTTTCTAGTTTAGACCTCTAGGTAAGAGGGTCTACAGATCACTTTCCAGGCCTGTTAAACACAGCAAATGCTGAAGGGCCTCCTACATGTGGTAATCACTGTTCCTTGCCGTTCAAAGAACATCACTAGTTCAGCCTAAGGTGAAAGCCCCTTGGTTGCTGCAAAATGGTTTGAACTGATGCAATACCTGCATGCCATTTGGTGGGTGAGGGCTTGTATAGGTATGAAGAGGACAGCTGCCAATTTCAAAGGCATTCAAGGTAAGATTAGTCATTCATGAACAACGGGCACCTGACAAGATGAGTGTTAGGTAAACTTAGGAAAAGAAAATGTAATCTTACAAGCAGCCAGAAAAACGCAGGGAAGTGGGGTAATAGAGGCAGGGATTTTAAAATAGGAGTTATTCTGTCATCACCAATATTCATCATGCAGCAAAGAGAAATGTTATTCTCAAATCAATTCAGGAGCAGATTTCCTGAAGCAATAAAGGAAAGGGATATAATTCCCTCAAAATATACCATCAGCATTCCTGTTTGTTTTCTTTTGTGGTGACCAGGCATGATCCAATACCAGGAAGAAATGTTTCAGATACTACCTCAACCACCTACAAGTCATTGGCAGACATACAATTCAAGAACAGGGTGACGTAAGAATTGGCATTATTTCTCACTATGGGGAAAATAATTGTCACATGCAGATGTAATGATAAGTTGTTGAACCATCTTAGATTCAGAATTATTCCTGAAAAGTAAGGAGCTGCTCATCCCATCTTTAAGAAGAAAATCAAGTTTTCCCTATTCTTAACAACTGGGAATATATGAAAAGCCTAGTGGACTGCATTAGCTGCCATTGTTAACAAGTGCTACAGTTAGCTACTCCAAGCAATGCCTCGACAACGTAAGAATGAGACTTGGGGAGAATAGTTACTTTCAGATAGAAATTATAGTACTCTCCTCTGAATGTGTACAGGCTTACTCTATGCTTTAGATAGGAGCCCCACTGCAGCCAGCAACTGATCCCTGAATCCAACATTGCTACCAGCCAGATTCAAGACAGCATCAGAAATGAGTACCTCCAGATCTTCAGTAGTTCACACTTCAATGGTACAGCTTCAGAAAGACTGAGGAGGAATTAGAACGGTCTAGCAATCTTACCTCCTAAGCGAATCCTCCTCTGAACTTTCCTCAGGCATTTCCTGGTTTAAGGCGTCCTGTGATACATTCCCAGGTCTATTTGAAGCAGATTGGCTGTAAACTCTTTCCCAGTGCCCCGTCTCCTGGTTAAAGACCACTCCCACGGTCCTTTCCTCTGGCGGATTAGAAGATCTTCCCAGTGGCAGTCTGCTAGAGGGAGAAGTTCTACTTTCCATTCTCTCGGAAGGTGGTAGCTGGCTACTGCTGGATGGCACACCTTCAAATGTGCTTTGGACCTGCCCTGGTGCATATCTAGGTGTACTTCTTTCCCAGCGAAGTGTGTCATTGTTAAAAGTCAGCAGGTTGTGACAGGCTCGACAGCGGTTCAGGTGCCCCCGTGACAAATTGGAATTGTTTTCACTGCTATGTGGGGTCTGTTGATGAGAAGGACCAGGTCTATCAGGCTCGATGTTGTTATTAAGCATCTCCTGGGCTTGATGTGACTGACTGGGTTCACCACCTATCCCCTGATCTAGCTCCTGAAGCCTATCATATTCCAAGAAGAACCGCCTCAAGTCACACTGAAACTCATTGCGAATGCTGGTTGGATTGCTTGGACCAGCATTGCTAGTGCTTTCAGCTTCAGCACTAGGAGCTGGAAAACCCCTCCCTTCTGTAGCTGAAGTATATACAGAGGACTGGGAGCTTCCTTCCTGCTGTCTCAGTACCGACAACAAGCTCACTGAAGAGGCACTGGTTCTAGGAGGAGGCATACCTTCCAACTCAGAGCGAGGGCCCATATTCAACACTGTTCGAGTCCACTCAGAACCCTCCAACCCAGAGGCCATCTCTCTTGTAGACTGGTGAAATCTGGACGAGTGGCCAGACAAAGGCCCACTAAGGGATCTACGAGTGGGGCCGAGGCTAAGGTTGCGCAGGGTGTTGCCCGCAGTACTGCTTTGTACAGTGCTGAAAGCAGATGGTCGGTTAAGGAGTCCCTGCTCCTGCTGTGCTGTAGTTGCCTGCTCCTGGGGCTGGTAAGGCTCCATTTGCACAGAAGAAAAGGAAGTGCCAGTGGACCCAGAGGATGTGGAAGGGGTGTTGTCCTGGGACGGAAAAAGAGAAGGAAGTCTTGCACTAGAACATCGCCTGCAAAGGCACAGCACCCCCAGATGTTGGCAACATTTTACTGAGGGGAAATTGACAGGCTCACTGAGGCCATTATAGGCAGATGCTCTAGAGGCTTCACTAGCTGGAGGTGGTGGTGGTGGAGGTGGAGGTGGTGGTGGTGGAGGAGGAGGGAGAGGAGGAGGAGGGGAGGGAGTAGCCGAGTCTTGCATGGCGTTTTGCTCTCCCACCTGGATACCAGAAGAACGTGAGGACAGCATATGCAGGAAGTTATGAAGGAGTGGTGTGCGTCTCACAGGCTGAGATTGGAGGATGGAACGCTGACGATAGTGTGGCATTTCGGTACTATCCACAGGTATTTCCACCTCTTCATCGTTCTGCAGAAGAAAGTGCAAGTGATCAATTACCTTGCATCAAAATTAGATGATGCAAAAACAGGATGCACTTTGCCACAAGCAAAGCAGAGACTCTGCCCTTGGGCAGGACAAAGTTACTGAGAGACTCTCTATTACTATTATTTTTAACTTCTCAGATCCAGGATAGAAACACAAAGGTAACTCATGTTGTTACAGTTAACTCCAACAATGGCAATTCTGCCAAAGGTGGACCACAACTTCATTTTATACAAAGAGCAGCTAGCCTTTTTTGGCCTGAGGGTGACATTCACCCTCAGTCAACCCTCCTGGAACCATATACCTGTAGCGTATATGCACATGTGTATACATGTGTATACATGTGTATAAGCACACACACACACACACACAAACACACACACACAGATCTCTCCCTCCTCAATTGCTCTGTGCAGATCAACTGAGGATACCCTGTCTCTGCTCCAATGATCAAGCTGATGACGAGGGAGAAAATGATGTATATCCCTATTCAGGGACTGGATCTACCCACCTCAGAGCTATGCCTATTTTTTATTTTTTTTAAGCTGCCACCAAAATTGGTGGGGGTGCTGTTGGCAGCTACAAGAGCCAGGCTTCCAGTTCATGAGCCTGGGAGACACCACACTCCAATACCAGCTATATGATTATTATTTTTTAATCCTGTTTTTATTGCAAACTGAACTAAACAGAAGCCAAGAGGCTGCTTGAGATCTGCCTGAGGGGGGGGAGTAGCTGAAAGAGTTAAATTGATCGCCTCAAGGAGTATGATGTCACAAGTTATATGTATAGGACATGACCTTGGGCAATATGACCCAGTCAGCCATCAGTACAATAAAGTACCCCCTCCAGATTCTCTCTGAACAAGCAATAGGTACCATTTTAAGACCTGAGGGAGAAAGCAGAAGATTGTCAAGGGAGAGGGCACCATATCAGTCTTACACAGTTCACAGGAGTGAAGCGCTAATGCAACTCATAAACCTCATCACAGACGAAGGAGGCTTTGGGCTGACCAGTATGGATAGCTACAACAGCAAAGCAATCAGCAGCACAGCAAGGCCAAGTATTCTTGAAAATGTCAGAACTTTGGGTATGAATAAACATTTATTCTGTAGTACTATATCCCAGCCTTTTTTCTTTTCTTAGGAAGCCGAGACCAAATTACCACGTGGTTATCCAGGTGCTACCAGATTCACACTTATTTAGATTTAAGCATTCTACATCAAATACACCTAGACCATTCATATTCAGTCAGTTTAAAAACAGCAAATATCCACTGTCTGTTTAAAAAGACACAGAACTCTACACCAGGAAACACCAGTTATACATCTAATAACTGAATAAAAAAGTTACCTGTTGATTGGAAGGGTTAACAATTGCTGTGAGTAAATAATGCCCAAGAGGATCGAACCGAACTAGTCTGAAACAAAGAAGAAAGGTTTAATTTTAACAGAACAAGCTGTTCCATCAAACAGTACTATCGAGAAGGACTTCTTGCATTTCTGTAGTGTGCCACAATGTAAAAAAATGCCAAGTTTCAGATTCACAAATAACAGGGAGTGGGAGATGTTCATCCATCCCTGAAGTGTACCCAATTCCCACAATGGCCAAACACTGCCATGCATGTGAATGAGGAAACACTGTACACAATTTAGCAAAATGAACATTCAAATAACAGGAACTGCTAAGGAAGAAGACTAAATTGGTAGATTGAGGAAGCTGAATGGCCACAGAAGCATGTAAGCCTGCCACGTTTCAGACTCCACGGTATATTGTTTTTAGAAATAAAAGAAAGCAACTGACTGGTTTTATATCTCCATATCTGAGCAAGAAATCTGAAGAGACGGCTAAGAAAACAGGAATCTGAGCACCGTATCCAAAGGCCCAAACAGCAAGATCTCAGCACACTACTTTGTTCAATTTTTGTTCATGAATTCCAATTCAAGAGTAAACTCTTCCAAGTCCAAAAAAAGGACCTCCAAAATGAAGTGTTATACATATTACAAAATTTGAAGAAAAGAAAATTTTACTTCCCAAGATATAAACTTGCTTTATGGTGCTTTAGCTTAATTATTTAAGTCTTACACATGGTAGATACAGTACTTTAGCCCAATATATTGTCATTATAATCTCATGTTTCCTGTATATAGTGTTGAGTATATTAGCAAAGAATTAACCTTCCATAAGCTTTCCAGGAACGCCCTGCGGTCTATGGATAAAGGTTGGTATACAAATTTAAGTAAACAAACAAACAAACAAACAAATTACTTACTTACTTACTTACTTCATGGCTACCTTTTATTCCTAACTGCCATTTCTCACTACCAAAACTTCAAAACAGATAGGACAATTAGCTTCTCTTCCTCTAATGAGTCATTAATCTATTTTTCTTCCTGCTCAACATAGGCTAAGCACCACTATGCTTTAGAGTTAACAAGAAACTAGTGGGGAAATCTAACATTGACCTTACTTAGAATGCCTAGAACTTGTCCTTTGTTAAGACAACCCACAGTAGCAGCCTCCAAAAGAGCAACCACATGTTCACCTGTCTGCATCATTTTGCACTCCCTCATAAGCCCCCTCTCTCTAACAGCACAGAGCTGCTTCTATCCATCTTCAGTTATTTTCTGTTAACTTTATAGGCTGCATGACCAAGTCACGTGATGCAATCTGACACTGTCTGCCTGAGATATAAAAGTTGGGCTAAGCTAGCTCTGACTACCAAGAGATCCTGAAATAGTAGTAACAACTGGAAAATGCCTTCCCATGTCTGGATTTTAAACAGATATTCATGCTCTGGTATACATTCTAACAATAATTCTAGCAATCTCTGTCCTACATGATTCTAAGTAAAACATTCAATGAATCCCATATTACTGCCCAATTGCCTGGTAACAGTACTAATGAAATGCTACAGTTGTATGAAAAATGTACCTACACAATGAAAAACTGTAACAGGTGAGACTGTAAAAAATGACACATTTCTCTGCTCAAGTAAAACTCTGGATAACTAGTCTCTTGCTGCTCCATAATAAATGCATTGGCAATAGCAACTACCAGGGATATTCTATGGCAGGTTTTATAAATAGTGCCAAGTTTGTCCCACTATTTGTCTGGGAAAATATTTGCTTTTGTCCATCATGTGTATACTCCAAGCCTTCCTATAACAAGAGCACATGGCAGCTAAAAACACAAAACCATCAATTAAAACCGTATCAAATCACAGCAGCAGAATACTCTGATACTTGTCCTTTAACATCAGAGTTAGCTTATACAATTTTCCTTATAGATTATTGTAATACATTATATGTGGTGCTGCCTTTGAAGGCTTGCTGGAAACTGCTATCAGTACAGAATATGGCTGAAAGAGTACTAACTATGATTGTATTACACAAGGACTTAATCATCTTCACTGACTCCCAGTCCAAATCCAGTTCCAATTCAATTCCAGGTTCTGACTTTTAAAGCCCTTCATAAGCTTCGGACCACAGTATCCAAAGGATCCTCTTTTCCCACATGTACCCAACAATGACCTCTTATCATTGTGTGCCCCCACAAGCTAAAGAAAGGTAGGAAGCCAGGATAGTGGCCCCTTGCTTGTGTAACACTTTTCAAAATTGGTGAAGATGTTTTTATTCTCACAGGCCTTTAAAATCTTATCTTTTATCCTTATTTTTTAAGGTGGTATTTCTATGGCCATAATTATCTGTTTTGAGCTTATTATTTTAATGCTACTTCTTAGAATTAGAAACACAGTAAGCAGATAAATAAATATGATTGCAGTCTATAGGGCCAGGCCTACTTGACTTGAGCAGTTAAACCACACTGTGTGCCTTCAAGTCTGTACTTCCATCTTCTGGTTTACTAGTGAACCCTGGGGTGCAATTAAGAGTTTTCCAAGCTGTCTCCAGTGTCATAGGGTTTTGTTTTTTTCCATTTCTGGCTAAAACTATGTCCCAAGCAATTATCTTGAGGATTTCTCCTACAGATTGCTCCCTCTTATCTTCGTCTTCAACTAGATACACTCATGCAGAAGGATTACTCACCGGACTCTCTCCATTTCACTGGCTGTTTTCACAACTGCAAAAGGCTCCCGGCGACTCCAGTCCCAGAAGTGGATCTCATTGGCTGTTGCAATTAGCAGGAGCTGGGCCGTTGGATGGAAAGCCAAAGATGCTATGGCATTGTTGCTATCTGTAAACCAGCTCTCACTTCCACCCTGGGAGCAAACCAATCTATGGTCAATGGTATTGAAACACAGTAATTCCAAACAGGATCCCATATACACTATATGGTGACCTAGATTTATATCACAAGCATCATCGCATGTGCTTCCGTTTTATATCACCCCCCCCCCCCGACTGCATAGCCAAATTTTAAAGAGCATTGTCTCACTAATTACAGGAAAATCATTATATACTGTTTGTATAGGCTGTCTGAGACTCACTGAATGTTCCAGAGTAATTAAAAGAATTTGATTATGTAGAAACATTTCAGCCCTTCAACATTAGTATGGATAAAGGTCATGACACACTACAGTACTACTTAGAGAAAGCATTTTTTAATTCTTGAAACCTACAGTAATCTTTCACTGAAATGTTTGCAGAAATAATTATAGGTCATCCAAAGGCTTTATCATTAACTAGCACAAGATTTCTGCTACAGCCTGCCAATAAGGCTCTCAACTGGCAGAGTTGGCATTTCATGATCAGAAAATAAAACAAATCCATAACAGTAAGGTAAACAGGTGATATTTGGAGGGATGGAACCATGTATTTGGGTTTATCCCTATTACCAGAATAATATGAGAAAATGCTACAGTGAAGAAGGTCCCACACCAGTGTGGCAATGCATGGATTAGCCTGGCATAGAGTGAGGTAAAGAGCATTAAAAGGAACTTACGTGCAAATCCCAGATTCTAACCTCTCCATCAAGGCACCCTGAAGCAATAAGCCCTGGAATGGTAGGATGAAAGGTTACACACCATGGTGTGCGTCGATGCCCAACTAGAGAGTGAACACATTTGCCCGTTTTCACCTCAGTGATGTAAATATTGTGATTCACATGAGTAGAAGCCATAAGGGTCCTGGGGAAATTAAAAAGCAACATAAAAGAAGGGGAGGGAGGATGGGAAGAGAAGGTTGTTTAGCAAGCAATTTTGGATGCAGAAACAGAGGAGAGAAAAATATGAACCTGTACAGATATGCCTCATTGCCTGTCAAGCCCAACACCCAAACCACCAAGACATCACAGCTCCAAGACCAACTTTCTAAAAATAAGTCAATGATACTTCAATCTAACCAGCCTCACAGCACACATACTTGAGTTTTAGAAAGCTTACGTAAGATTGTTAAAAGTTAATAATTATATTTCCAAGATTAACAAGTAAGAGAATAGTTACCTGTTAATAATTAAAGTACATTTTTGTCATTCTAATATAGTAAATACTCCAAAAGACTTAACCATTACTCAAGAATAGTAGAGTAGTAAACTCAGCTATATTTTTTAACTGGTCAAATGCTCATAAAATGATAGGTTCTCCAAATTGTGCTTTCCACCTTAATATCTATACCATACCATCCCTACAGGGTGAGTCACTCCCAATTTTCAAACATCACTTCTTCCTGATATGCACTGCAACAATCTTGCTTGTGGTACATTTGGACAGTGGCCAGGCCCTAAGCTCTCTTGTATATGAAAGCCAATTCCTGGTTCTCATCTGTCACACTCTAGAAAAGGGGTAATCAATGTAATGCTCTCCAAATGCTCATGGACTCCAAACTATCATTAGTCTCAACCAGAATAGCTGATAGTCTGGGATAATATGAACAACCTCAAGGACACCATGTTGGTTACCCCTCCTCTAGGGTGACCAATTAAAACAAAATATGAGGTGGCTATGCAAACAGGGATGGAATAAGTTTTCATTGGCTCTGCCTTGCGTACTGTTCTATGAAACAAAAAGGAAGCGGACTACAATGACATTTGAGAGGGTGGAGGAGCAAAAGCTGTATTCACTAAAGGAAAATTGATACTACCACAGTAGGGACAAAACCTCCACAGAGCTCTCAAGGACTTAGCACCTTCCCTGTAGGGTCTCTGAACCAACCAACACAACAAGCATTTCACCAGTTTATATGAACATCTCCTGCTACCAAGTTCCTTGCAAGTCTACATTCTGTCATTATCATAGTTTGAAAAGAGTATTCCATGTACACAAGTAGTTTCAAATAATCAAAAGAGTGAGCAGCACTTGGTATAGCAAAGCTGGAAGACTCTTTGGAAGCTCTCACAGGTATGCTGAGGAACATTTCTCTTCACAAATCTTTCTAACAGATAAAAGGGAACATAAAATAAATAAATAAAAAATAAATAAAATGAGAACAGAAAATATATACATAGATGTGTACCTGTCTGGACTGAATGCCAGTAGAAAGGTGGAGCGTGGACTGTCTGGCAACTCAACCTTCTGAAAGTCAAAAGAGCACAAAACATTTTCTGAGCTCAAAGTATCAGTGAAGTATACCAGTACCCCTCCCTCGTGTGAAGTTTGATAGAAGAAATGATACTTTTGCACAATAGTTCCAGGAGTATCAAAGGGTTATAAAAATTTTAAAAGGTTCTATCCATTTATTCTGAATCTGGCACATACCAGATAAAAATATTTAATTCAAATTCAGAAACCTAAGAAGTATATATAACTCAAATTACCCACAGGCAGAAGTGTCATACACAGCCTGAAGCTCCATGGTTAAGAACTTGCTTTGTATGCCAAACTATCCTAGATCACTGTATGTGCAGGTAGGACTGGGTAAGACCCACAAAGGGAACCCTTAAGTATCGTCAGTGTAGATAATGCTGAGCTACTTGAACCAATGTTCTGATTTTGTGCAAGGCAGCTTCCTAAGTTCAGTTGACTTGTAAGTGTGTCATAAGGAGCTTTACCTTGCCCTCCCATTTCATCCAACGGGTTTTGTCTTCTACCAACTCCTGCAGAAGACGCTGTGCTCCCAAAGCTTGTGTGCCCCGTTCTCGGCCCCAAAGGATTCGAACAGCATTCTTCTCTGGTACAACCTTCATGGCTTTTACTGTCTCAGTGCAGGGGAATGAGTCACCGAGAGACACCAGATCACAAGTGCCAAAAATCTACACAAGTGCCATCCACTCCTTGCAAGGCTGTCCTCATGGAAATCTAGATAGTGAAGATATATTTCAAGGAACCCAAGTCAGAAGTTTCCAAGAGGTCAATACAAATTGGTATCTCTCTCTAATTGTTAACATTCCATCCCCACCAACATAGCATTACTATTATCATCATCAGATTCTCAAGAGAGACCACTGTAATTGCAGCACATTCACGACAGATCTTCCTCAGGTTGCAGAATGATGGGCCCAGGTCCAGCATTTTCATGCCAAATCTAACACTACATGGATACTCTTGTCAAACTTTTTTAAAATAACTCTTCATAAGAATTGATTTGTGGCAATTTCATTTTCAAATGTATTTTGTAGTATTTAGAATAAAAGTATTTTCCAGTCAAGACAGTTTCAGCTTTAAAAAAAATATCTTTGAGAAAGATAGAACATAAACAGATTACATTTACAGTGGTACCTCTGGTTAAGTACTTAATTCGTTCCGGAGGTCCGTACTTAACCTGAAACTGTTCTTAACCTGAAGCACCACTTTAGCTAATGGGGCCTCCTGCTGCCACCGCGCCGTCGGAGCACAATTTCGGTTCTCATCCTGAAGCAAAGTTTTTAACCCGAGGTACTATTTCTGGGTTAGCGGATTCTGTAACCTGAAGCGTATGCAACCTGAACTGTATGTAACTCAAGGTACCACTGTAATGCTGCTAAATCACATCCTGTCATCATAAAACTCACCATATGAATTATGTCACAGGCCGAATAAAGTGACCTAACCCAAATCACACAGCAAATACACCACCAAGTTGGATCTGAATATATTTCCAGGTCAAGCACACTATCAACTGGATTTACGAAAGCTGGTCTCATCAAATACTACAAACTAACAAGCATAATATGAAACTGGGGAGTTCTCATTACAAATTTTACTTTATTGAGAACAACTTCCAGACTGCTGACCCAAGACAACAGCTGCTTACCAAGACGGATATTTTTAATCAATTGCAAGAAAAGAAACTTTCCTTACTAAGGAATGTTAACAGAGAGAGTTCTCAAGGGAATCTTCTTGAGGAATTGCTTTGCTCACCAGTGTAATAAATCAAGTTTACATAAAGTTAATGTGCATACATTTGATTAACTTTCATAATCCATTCTGAGTGCAATCTGAGAGTGGTTTTTCTTTCTTCCTTTATGACTGGCCCCGGGGGGTGATGGTGCTCGGAATGGGTGGAACACCTAGGTTTAATTTGTTTCAAACACTGATGTTTTTAATTTTTAAAAGAATTATGCAACTGTATGGTCACATGGGTAAAGCCAGTCATCTTTAAGATTTAATCTAAGTAAACCTTTTACAAAGAAAATACAAATACCATTATGCAGAAGATTAATGTGTTCATTCTACCCTCAACCATTTACAACTGCACTTCTTCATGTCCTGTTTCTATTCCTTGTGCAAATTGGGAACAGAGAAAACTCCCCCTTCACACTTGTTCCATAATAGGAAGAAGTTGGAGTCACTCACACTTTTTCTTTCCTCTTCAAAAGCAAATACACATACATCAAACCCTTTGGGAATCTGATCTGGCATGAGAGTGTGCCCTGGACATTCCAAGGGATATCCCATCACTGTTATATATTGGTTTCACTCATCAATATTCTGAAAGAATGCTAGATATCTACCTGCTAATGTTTATCAGATTTTGGAAAAGCGTTTCTACTGCTTTCAACTCCAGGTACATACAGAATAGTTCTAGCAATTGTGTGAAAGACTGTTTAATCAAGAGCAGAATAAATGAATGCAGGTGCCAGTTGCCAACAAAAACACCAGAGACCTCCTCTGAGGAAGAAGCATGGGATGTCATGGAGCACCCCATTACTTAATACTTAATACTTGGAAGAACTTGAAAAAAATCCAAAGTGCCTCAGCTCATGAATGTCTTGCCTGGAACCCAAAATAATCCATCCAACCACATAATGAGCCCTGCCTTGATCTCTAAGTAAGGTCCATTTGATACCTTTATTGACATACTTTTGGCACCAAGTAAACACTTTCCTTTTCCTCCAGGCTTTTGATGGTGCAAATCAAGGCTTCCACACACCTGGGAACAGGTAATACAAATTAAGGATAAGTTAACAGAAGCACATGGAAGAGCCTTGGCTCGAGAGCATAAGACTCCAATTCATATCATGCATGTTTCCAATGCTCTTCATGTGCAACTTAGCCAATCAGCCCACATTTATTTAGTGAACAAAGGTAGGAAAGGGGAAATCAATGTTGCTGTAAACCGAGAGTATCACAAAGCATACAATGAATCAGAAACAGCAACAAAAGGTTTAGGGATCCCAAACACACAAAGTATCATCTACAGCTGTGGTAACCAAGATGGTGCCCTCCATATGTTGTGGACTACAACTGCCATTAGTCCCAGCTAGCATGCCCAAAGGTGAGAAACAATGGGGAGTTGCAGTTCACAACATCTGGAGAGAACCATGTTGGCTACCCCTGCTCTGCAGGAAACATTCAGCAATCAGTAATCTTAATATCTTTTGCTGTAATTATTGATTAATCCAAGCCTCTTTCACTAATAGACATGGGTAGTGAATGTGATGCCCTCCATTTGTTTTTGAACTATACTTTCATCAACCTTGACCATTGGCCATGCTGGCTGAGGCCAATGGGAACTGGAGCCCAGAACATCTGGAGAGCACCACATTGGCTATCCCTATTTCAAAACTTGAATCCTATGTCTTTCTACTTCATTTGTTTCGTGTAATCCATGAACTTGTTCAACACAGAAAGAGCAAGACCAACATGAAATCTGAACAATCAACCAAAAACACTGGCATGGGTTGCATGGCTGCAATTCTAACCATATTTAATAGGAAGTATGAGTCATTGAGGGTAATGAGGCTTACCTCTCAGTAAATGTGTTTAGAATTGTGTTGCACACGTCTCAGACATCCGTATCTCAGAGCATATTGTAGTACCCATATTTGTATCAGGTCAAAAGTGGCAATTTACACATGGTTAAATCCAAGACACTGGTCACAATACAGCATTCATCAGCTATATAAATGGCTATAAGGGGGGGGGGGGACACCAGAACAAGGATGACTTGGCAAGGCAGTATTGCACTGAGAAATTGCTAACCTCCACACTCCCTGACAGCATTTACTGTACCCAAAAAATCCTTGCCATAAAAATCAAAAGCTGCCCCACAAGCTGCAAAATTCCTACCGAAAAGTTGTCCTTCTTTTATTCTTATAGCCACTTTTAGAACACAGGGAGAAGCAGACCAAATGTCCCCTAATAACAGAGAATAAATCATCACATTACAAGAGAGAGTGAAGATCCCTATCCATATTTACTATTATTCAGAATACAGTGGTACCTCGGATTAAGAATTTAATTCATTCTGGAGGTCCGTTCTTAACCTGAAACTGTTCTTAACCTGAGGTACCACTTTAGCTAATGGGGCCTGCCACGCCGCCACCGCACAATTTCTGTTCTCATCCTGAAGCAAATTTCTTTACCCGAGGTACCATTTCTGGATTAGAGGAGTCTGTAACCTGAAGTGTCTGTAACCTGAGGTACCACCATACTTCAATCCCCATTCTATAATCCCAAGATGCTCCCTGAGATGCTCTCAAAGTGGCTTACAGAAATAAAAACTACACAGTAACTGCATGGAGCCAGAATTATTTAGGCAGCATTTTCTGCTTGCATCCTTGCTCTTCCATGGTGTCATACCAGGAACAGCCCTCACTAAAATCTTGAGGCAAAGGAGCATGGCCGAGCAGCTGGCTCTTGCTCATTCCATGAGGGAAGCAGTATTTTCTTGCTGGCAGTTGCCAGGCAGCAGGTCCTTTGAGGCATAGTAGTAGAGGTGAGCAGCTGGAACTCACTCAGCCCCATGATGAAGGCCAGTTGTCCCCTGCTAGCAGTTGGTACTTCCAAGGCAATTGTGCCCACCAAGGTCCTCTAAAGTTAAATAAGAGGATGAGAACTTCAATTTTACTCAACCAAATGGAAGAAACTGCAAATTTTAAACAATAAAATTCCAGCAACATTTCATTTTCCTGCCATGCATAACTTAATTCCCTTATCAGAACATGCTTCTTGCCATAACTCTTTAATGCAATGAAGTTCATTTGTTATTTTGAAGCTATAACCCACTGTTTTAAGGTCCACAGCAGCAGGCCAGTATTAGCATAAACTACCAATAGCCAAAACAGGTCCCAGTAGTTTCACACAGATTGCAACAGTATCTGCTTTCTTGTTTTCCTCAAAGACGTCTTACAACATTCTGTGAGCAACTGGATTAGCTAATGAAAGCAAATCAAATTTAGAGTCCTATAGCTCTTCAGTAATAAAAGTACAAGACAATAAGAACATGAACAGTAAATGGCTCTAGAGATAGTAAGCAGAAGGTAACCATTAATTTACAGTGATGAGCAGAGGTGTGCACCTCAAAACTCTGAACTGGACCTTTTTCTTATTAACCAACATTAGATCTGCTCTAGCCCAAATTTTCAAAAACAAAGTAGTAGCAGGGACATTTGGGGGTGGGGGAATGTGGTAACACTTTTGCCTGTCTGGTAACTCTTGCCTATTTTGCTATATTTTAAATACATTGTAAGTCGCTTACTTTGGTTAGTAGGTGGGGTGTAAATACTCCAAATGAATGAATGAATGAATGAATTGTAACCTGCAAAAGCATCTGAACAGTGAAATTGTGCATTAATGGCATTTTGTATGAAAATAATTAGCAGCGTTTCAAAGAAATGCAAGTCTAAAAGTATACAGTGGTATCTCTGGTTACGAACTTAATTCATTCCGGAGGTCCGTTCTTAACCTGAAACCATTCTTAACCTGAGGTACACTTTAACTAATGGGGCCTCCCGCTGCCACCGCGCGATTTCTGTTCTCATCCTGAGGTAAAGTTGAGGTACTATTTCTGAGTTAGTGGAGTCTGTAACTCAAAGTGTTTGTAGCCCGAGGTACCACTGTACTGAGAAAAGTTACAGGACCAACTACTATTGCTTAGTGGATGACCCAATGTACAGCTGCTGCACTTGGATCCTCCCTCTCTGCCCCTGCTCAGCAACAAGTCCTAGAGTCCTGGGAAAGAGAATAATAAGCATGAAACCAGACAAAGGACCAATCACTTGCCAACCATGAGAATGAGATGCCATTCTATTGTTTGTTTGTTTGTTTGTTTGTCATCATTCCTCCAAAGGAGCCCAGGGTGATGTACAAACATATATCCATCATAACACAAACAGTAAAAATGTACCACTAAAACAATTATTAACTCATTAAAACACTGGTTCCAGTACTGTTGCCAAGGGTTAAACATTTAAACTACAAAAGCCTAGGTGAATTAAAATGTCTTTAATTGACGTCTGAAATCCAAAGTGGGGGCGACAGGCATACCTATGGGGGTAATTCTAGAATTCGGGTCCCACTATGGAGAAGACCCTTCTACAGATCCTTGCTCCCCAAATCCTGATGGGGGGGCTGCAATAGCCTCCCATTGCTAATCTTAAGGATCAAGTTGGCAGGAAATTGAGGTTTGAGTTCTAAGTTATTGAAGACTTTGCAAGCCATCACTAATAACTTGAATTAGGCCCAGTGGAACACAAACCACCAGTGCAGTTTATCGGTTATACATGATTCCATCTTGCTGCCCTAGATATAAACATGGGAGCTGCATTCTGCAGGATGAAAGGAAAGAATGAAGTAATGAAAACTGTTTTGGAAGAACTTGTAGTACTGCCTGTAGAACAGCACATGTTGCAAGGCGCAGAAGCAGCCCTAATGCAATTATACTCCATTATTTTATATAAGCCACCTTGAAAATCCTTCTGGATCCAAAGGTGGAAAAGAAAGTATTTTTTAAATAAACTGTTCACAGCACTGAGAATAGGCAGCAAAATGGCAGATATCTGTATGTATGTGCACACAAGTGTTCAAATTCCCTAATATACTTTATTAGTAACATCTGAGGGAATTTTGGCTGCTCCTCTCAAACTGGCACCTAGCCTCTGTCATTTGTAACCTATTTGGATTACTGCCATGAACTCTACACAGGACTGCCTCCTGTTTGAAAGATGCAGATGGTGCAAGAGCCAACCGTTCACCTTATGATGGGTACACTTTATAAAGAACATATTATTCCTGTTTTATCAGTTGCACTACCTGCCTATTTGCTTTCAGGCCCAATTTAAAGTGCTGGTTCTCAGTTTTAAAGCAGTGTACAGCTTGGATCCTACATACCAGTGAAAGTCTCTTCCTCCATAAATACCTCCCCATCTCTAATTTCCCAACCTGCTGGGGAGACTCTGTTCATGTCCCTTCTTACACACATGTGAAATAGAAAGGCACGGATCCAGGTCTTCTCCACTGTACCATTCAGCCTATGGAATATCCTTCTAACAATAGTCTCTTTTGCCCCTACTTTGATGACTGTTCACAGGCAGCGAATATTTAAGAAGGTGCTTTTGATGGGCTAAAATAGCAGCAGCTGTAGATCTGTTCTTGAGCTAATTTACTTTCAGCAGCTGCTTTACATGTCTTTAATATCTTGTTACATTGGTTGATTTTAACCACCTTCTATTATAGTTTCTGAACTGTGCACACTACTTCAGTTGAAGCATATGCTAGAGATGAGTGAACAATAAAACAATCAAAGCCTCTGGCACAGTGGGAGTTAGGTTAGTTCCAGTACCATTTCTTGCAAGTGCCTCAACTCTAGAGAAAAAGGGAGGGTAGTCATATTACCACATATGAGAATGTATTTTCCAAAGGCCTTTGTATTAAAAAGCTGGAGGGCTGCAACTAATTGTCCCATTTCAGTTCATACAATCCATGCATCTGTATCCATGTAATAGGTCATAATAGACAAGTTTTATTTCTGTGGAACCACATGCAATGTGTCTGCTGTGGTTTGGCACTCTCAGTTTGAGAAACAATTTCCTACCAAACTGTGAAGTAGAATAAGTCTTCTCTTATCAGCTAAGTGCAGGCCTGGTCAATTTTTGAGTTTTCTGAGAGAAAATCAATGTTGCAATAGCAAAAGCAGTTTTAAAATGTGCCCAGATGTTCCTGCTGTGGATGCACATTTGGATGCACATTTACATCATTATAGTCTGAAATGCCATCTTCTCCTCAGAGACAAAAGTCAGGGGAAACTTGGTCCTACCATTTGCTATAGAAGTTTGCTGAATCACGAGGATTTGGTAATGATACTAAACTTCCCCCACACACACACACACACACATGCCAAATAATTTTCTCCCCTACTCCCCAAATAAGTTTTTCAACATTTGAAGAACTGATTCTGCTTTATTTATTTATTTATTTTTAATAGGGACTACTCAAGTTAAATGAGTTATATATAGTACTTTTTTTAAAAGGGAGGAAAGTTCTTAAAGTCAGGCTCAAGCCAACAGAGAAAACACGGAAAACAATGCATCTCTTTTTAAGTCTGAACGCTGATGCTCACATGGTTAAGAAAAGGAGAATATTTTTTTAAAATCTACAAAGAATGAATGCAGAAAAAGCCAGCTCCTATACTCAAGGGGGATATTTACCATGGAGTTTCTCAAGCCTAAAATTTATGTTAACTGAATGTGAATTGATGAGACTGTCCAGTTGTTTACAATGCAACTCAATACATAAAAGATCAAAGAATAGTTCTAAGATTTTTCTTACCAAAACAAAGGAAAAGTAGATCCACAGATGATAGAACTTGGCAGGTTTGGAACTAGTGCATTCCTGAATGACAATCTGAAGAAGACATGAAGGAGGGAAAGTAAGTTTGGGTTATACTTCACAGTGGCAAAAATGACGAAGACAAAATGAAAAAGAGATAATAAAACGATCATTCTAGTAAGCACACTTTTAATAGCACTTTGCTGAGTTGGGTTAAGGCAACAGAACACAGACTGGAACTTGTCAACTCAGAAAGAACATTCTGAGAGACAAGGCCTTGTGAAAACTATATATTATACAACGTAATATACATATTACATTGTTAGACTGCAGTAATACTACACAATGGCCCAGTTTACACATCACCCTAAACCATATTTTAAACTAATGATGTTGTAATGTGAATGAGCAATGTGCTGGTGCACACTGTTGAGAAGAGTCCACAGCATTCATCCCCGCTCCTGTTGCATTGAAAATGAAACAAGACAGAGAGCTTAGCTTGTTGTGTTGTCCAAACCCGGATTCACAGTTTGCTTCTCTCCAAACCAAAGTGGTAACCAAAGTTGTTCTTGGCTTTATTTACCATTCATGGTTTGTTTGAAGAGAAGTAACCATAAGCTCAGGTTCAAATATGACAAAACAGAAGCCAGCTGATCTCATCTGCAACATAGCAGAAATGGGGAAAGAGCACTGGGGGAAATTTTGTGCAGCACAAACCAACACATGCAGCCGTTGTCTGTTTTAAAATATGGTTTAATGACACTCAAACTGCATTAGTGTGGTCTGTTCTAAAGCAAGTATGTCCAAAGTCCGTTGGGGGGGCCTCATCTAGCCCCCTGGCTGGTTTAATTCGGCCCCTGTGGCAGTTTATTTCTTGGGGTCAAATCCTAAAAAACAACTTCAACAACCTTGGGGTAAAATCATAAAAAAAGCTCAACCACTTTGGTCAGCCCTCATGCATGTTCACTTCATCAAATCCGGCCTTCTTTGAAAAAAGTTTGGGCACCCCAATCTGAAGGACTGCAGCAGTAGAAAACCCTAAACAAGGCACTCCACAATACTGTCACCTCTGCAAAAGGGGCCTCTCATAAATACTCAGTCAAGAGCACAATAGTGCTATTTGACAATTTCACATTAAATAAAACTTTCCATGACCTTTTTTGTAATGATTTTTTGCTCACCCTTTTGAATCTATCTGTACACCTGCCTATGTTTCAAAGTTAAGATTATAATACTGTAGATATGTCTTTGTTTAATTTCTTTTTTTAACAACCCAGTCTTTTTGGCCATTCAGCCTTACTGGAGCTTCATCAAGCAACATTCCAATCCTCTGTAAGGTTACTCCTACAGAAGTAAGGTAAATCCTACAGAATTAATACAGAATTACAGAAGTAAGGTAAATCCTACAGAATTCAGCAGCACTTCCTTCAAGATTTCATCCTTAAAGGAAGCTCAACATAAGTTTTCTCACCCAGCTTCCCTTAGAAGGCCAGCTATATAGCCACCCTTCAAAAATTTCAATCCTCTAACTTTTACAACTGTGCATATACAGACAAATATTTTTAAAACTGTATTAAAATGCAATTATAGTTCAGTTTCATTTGCTTTATAAGGGGACTAGCAACATCAATCTGTTTTAATCTATTTTTAATGTGGTATGCCACCTTGGGACCATTTGATGAAAAGGTAGATAATAATAATAATAATAATAATAATGGGACCATTTGATGAAAAGGTAGATAATAACAACAACAACAACAACAACAACAACAACAACAATAATAATAATAATAATAATAATAATAAACAACAACAACAACAATAATAATAATAATAAATTATTTATCAGTTTTAGACCTAAAATATTTGCTCTGCTGGTTCTTCCTGTGCCTATTGCTTGGTTTTATCATACAAAACCATTTGTGTGTTTTAGGGTATATCACCAAATAATTTTAGTGCTGACAACATCAAGTTTATTATAAAAAAAAAAAACTTGGATGAAGTAGTTATCCATTCATTCAGATCTGGAAGTACAACACAAATGGGAGTAACAGTAAACATGTTGGATGAAAAGCAAAACAACTCCAGATAGTTTCAAAATGAAGAGCTGAGGAGTTAACAATCAAGTAAAATTCAACAAGCTCAAATGTAAAATGTTTATACGAGACCCATCCAATACACAATTATAAAAGCAGATGTGCCAATACTCAATAACACTTCTGAGAAAAATGTAAACAAATGAAATGAGCAATGAAGGCAATGATGCAGCTCCAAAGTGCAATGCCATCCTGAGATCTGTATCTGCATTAGATTTGTATTAAGTACTGCAGTTCTTTCTGTACTACCAAACGCTGAGCAGAAAAGTTTCATTCAGTGTGTTATGTTTACCCAGATACCTCAGTTAAAGAAAGATGATGATAGGCAGAAGAGGATTCAGAGAAAAACTACAAAAGTGATAAGCAGTCTAGAAAGCAAGTCATATTAAGACAAACTAAAGGGATCTGCCTTTTAAGAACTGAGATAGGAATAACATGCTGCCAGTATTCAAATATTAACAAGCTTCCAGAAAATAGTAAATGAAAAATTATTTTCTGGATCTAAGAAGCAGTTAATACAAACTGCAAGAAAACATAGTTAGGTGACATGTTAGGAAATTTGTTTAAGTATTTAAAAATCTGAATCAAATGTGAAAGGCACTTGTGGAATTTACTTTGAGATTTACAGAAAAACTCAGGAGGACAGGTGAGCATGAACTACTGAGATTTCAAATACTACAGGTTTATGCACAGGCAAAACCAATAAGATTTATGAAAACGTGTGCTCTGTTGTCACTTTCCTCAGAAAGACGTTTTTTGGATCAGCTCATGGCTTATAGAAGTTGCAACAACCAGTTTTGCACAGTATAACCAAAGTGGCATTTTAATTTTAGCCATGTTTCAGACAGAAAGCATCAAACTAACTTATCTAAAATTAAGCGTACTTCCCTGCAAACTTGCAATGTGTTTTGTTGGGGGGAGGGCAAAGTAACCATTTTCGAATAAAACTTGGAATTGGGGGGCGGGGGGGAGCTAAGTAGGGCTTCAGTATTTTATTTAGCTCTCTCTTCTCCAAGCTACCTGTCTTGTATCTCCATAACCCACTTATTCTTAGTTGCCATACTCTCTCCTCGCAATACACACTGAAAGTCCAAATCCTTAAAGCATACCAAACACACACAGCTTAAAAAACTAATAAGCAATTTCATGGTACAGAACACACACACACACACCAACATATACCAGTCCACAATTCTGTAAAATCCTGATGACCGGAAAAAACAATTGTATCTCAATTATAGTGTTAAATATATGGCTGGATGGAGTCATAAAAACATTGGGGAAAACAGGCTTGAGTTCTCCGAACCAAATACCTTCTTCTACATGCAAAGCCTCACAACCCTCTTCACATTTAATTATTCTTAATTAATTAATTAAGACCCGTGTACAGAGAGACCCCAGCCAGCTAACAGCCAACTCTCTCTGCAATCTCGTGCTCGTTTCCTCAGAGCCAAGCCGTCGTGGTCCCCGTGCCCACCAGGCCTTACTCTCAAGGAAGCGCGGGCAGGCTCGGAGCCACATTCGCACAGGAAAACAGACATCCCGTTGCGAAAATTCCTCCTCGCATCCCTGAAAAGGGGGGGAAACCGTGCGGCCGAGTGTTTACGTGGGCGGAGGGGAACCGAATGTATTTTAAATTAAGGAAGCGCTCCCTCCCCGTATTCAGACCGACGGTTCCGGAAACAACACAGGGCGGGCCTTTAGAGCCTCGCTCTGCGGGTCCCGGGAAGGAAGGCCAAGGCCGCCAGGAGTCTGGCTAGCCGGTTCTCCGAGCGGGGAGGACGCGGGGGCCACAGCCAGGCAGCCTCCTCGCGAGAAAGACGCGGCCGCGGGAGGCTCCGCTGTGGGCGGGGTGGAGCGGAGGAACTCGACGCCGCCAGGAGACCCTTCCTGAAACGCGTCCCGCCCTTCGCCTCAGGCTCCCCAACTCCCCGGCCGGCCCCACCCGCCGGGTTTCTCTCCCCACCGGCTTGAGGGAGCCCGGCAACCCCCCTAGAGAGGAACCAGGCCCGGAGCCTCTAGGCCCAGAGCCTACCTGAGGCGGCGGGGGGGGGCTGGCCAAGGCCTGGCGCCCTCGAATCCCGGAAAGGACCGGAGCGGTGGCGTGAGGCACGCTCCGGGCTGGTCGGGGCCTGGTCCAGGGAGGGACAACCCAAATCCGACGGCGGCCTCTCCCCCTGCAGTTTCTGCCGCCGCTGCTGCTGCTCCGAGTTACTACCAAGGCCAGGGCGCCTAGCCGAGCACCTAAGCAGCCGAGTGCGGAGATGCCGAGTGCCGAGCCAATCGAACGGCAGGCGCAAAAAGCGGAGCAGAGCTGACGAATAGAGCGCAGAGAGCGGGATCGGCGCTGTCCTCGCGACCGGGAGGGCGGGGAAAGAAGGCAGGGAAGGCCTGCGTCAGGAGGCGCCTCCTTCCGGGGCTCTGAGATCGTCTGCTTCGAAACGAGTCCTTAGCCGAGGGATACGTGGAGGGGAGATGTTCACCTTCACATCGCCCTCGTCCCTTTGGTAATCATCTGCCAGGGACCTCCATAAAGTACAACACATGTTCTTTAAAAATGGCTACACACCCCCCCGCCAAAAACAAAGCCATAAATAACCACCACTGCCTCCAATACATTTTTATTGTAAGACTTAAAAAAAAAAATCAGTATAACTTTATTTGGCAAATCATGACTGCGCACTGGATATTTTTTTTCCAAAAAACAAACCACATTTCTCAAATTTTCCCATACACTATCAATTCCACTTTCTATACTGAACGCACACTCTTTCATGCAGTAAAAAAGGTTCACATCCACACCACACATTGAAAGCTTTCCCAGTAGTTTGTGCTAGGATTTGGGGAAAACCATGCACCTTATATGTATGGCCGTTGGCTTAGGATAAGCCCCAATGAACTCACCAGGACTCGTTATGAAGTAAATATACATAGGGTTGCTGTTAAAACTGGTGGCATTGATGACTCACCTACATTAGTAAAAAAAAACAGTGTTTTTAATGTTATAAACATGCAACACCAGATGGTGCTGTAGAACAAACTTTTTCTATGAGATTTTACATAGTGTTTTTTCTTTTGTTATAACGATTTAATTTGTGACTTACTTATCGTGTTTTTTCCTGTGTGTAGATCCATGCTGAAACAGAGATTTAAGAGGCCTCCTACTGCTACCACATTGTGATTTACTTCTGAGTAAGCCTACATAAGGTTGTGCTGCATGACTTTCTAGATGTGTCTGAGGATATTAGTTCTGCTAATAAACTAAGAAAAGGCACAAGAAGCAAATGCTTGTATTCAACAACTCACAAAGCAAAATGTACTACTCCCTGTGCAACAGCTGCAATCATAACCCCTTTTACCTGGGGGTAAACCCCATTGAATTCAATAGGACTTTCTCTGAGTAGACAAAGTTAGGATTGCATTAAGACTAGGCTCTCTTTAGGCTTGCTTTTCCCATCTTTTCCCATCTTTTCCTCTTAGTTCTCAGAGTCACTGACAGCTCTGCCATGATCTCACCAGGAGCTATGCAACATAATTACAACACAAATATAATTAAGGACAGGTACTTAATGAAGGTCCTGCATCACCTGCTTGTGCAACAATATATTGTACATGTAAATGTCTGAGTTTCATAAGGCCCTCTCGTTTCTAATCAGTTTTGCAGCACCAGATTTAGGGTGGTGTGGGTGATTCCCCCTGCACAGGGCACCAAGCCAAGGGGGAGAAAAAATGAGAAGATCCATAACTGAGAAGATCCATTTTGAATGGCACCAAATTTTGTCCTCACCCAAGGTACCACGTTACAACAGATTACCAAATTCTGTCCCTGAGTTTTGCCTCAATCTGGTTTATGAGTTTAGCATATATTAGCATTGTTGCCTAAATGCTAGCCTGACAAACATTCATTCAGAGTTACAGCAGCACATCCTAGCATTGCTGCATGTTCTCAAATACCATAGCAAACAATTAAAATTACAGAAGTACTTTACATATCTTGTAAAATAAATTTTGGAATATGGAGTCAATTTTTCTACAAATGAGTTCAAAAAGCTCTTCCTCACCATGGTTCCTAGCTTTCTAAATATTTGGCACACAGATAGATCCAGCTGCAACATTACCAAGACTGGGAACCATTTATCATAGGTACAGCTTCCTGGCAGTAAGTCCCAGTGAACTCTACTTCCGAGTAGACATGCATTGACTTACACTGTTTGAAATGGAATCTAGAGCAGGGCAAATACTGTAAGCAGGTAATAATTTATTTCCATCATAGGCACTGGCTTTAAGGGGCCAAGGCTCTTTGCACCACCTCAGGGTTTTTTTTTGAGGGGGCAGGTTCCCCATTGTTAAGATTGGGTACAGAGCTGGGCATGGAGTGACATCAGGACTTCTTTTCCAGGCCAGGGCCTCACCTGGGGTAGAAGTAGTTAAGAATGGGGAAAGGGTTCTGGAACCAAATCCTTAACCCATCACTGGAAACCATAAACACCAACAACTGGGAAACACTGGCCTGCAAGCACTCCAGCTGGAGAACAGCCTTTACAAAAGGTGTCATGGGCTTTGAAGACACTTGAACTCAGGACGAAAGGGAGAAACATGCTAAGAGGAAGGCACACTTGGCAAACCCTCACAGTGATCAACTCCTGCCTGGAAACCTATGTCCCCGCTGTGGAAGGACATGTAGATCCAGAAATGGCCTCCACAGTCCCTTATGGACTCACTGTTAAAACCGTGTTTATGAGTTAATGACACCTTGTGTGAATTGATTTGGGAGGCCTATGACTTGGTCCAATATAAAAATGATACCCTGTGTGAAGAGGCTTTGACTGTGATAGAGAAAAAACTAAAAGGGAGAACAAAAAGCATAAAAGGTTATTATATGTGGTTGCAATGTAAAATCATTAAAAAAGCCTGGGATAAGACATATAAAGATTTGAAAACAAATTGGGAAATTATTGTTGTTAAAAAAACTGAAGTTATGACATGGAGATGTACAGAACTTGTTGGACTTATTGAACAAAAGACATTGTTCCTGTATGCAAGATTGGACGCCAGGCCAAGACCAGTCAGCCCCTACAGAAGGAATAAGCCTCCGTTAAAGAAGAAGAAGAAGACTGGTAAACTAAACTACAGTATTGAACTATACAGGATAAACTAGTTAATGTAGAACCCAAGACAGAAAGAAGACTTTGAATAATAAAAAAGAGGTAAAGGTTTAATGCTCATCTTTTAAGCTTTGTGTACAGACTTTCACGTTAGTATAATTTTTAAAACTCACTTGTATTAAAATGAACAAAGTTTAAAAGTTGAATTATTAAGATTATAAGGTTATAAGGACGTGCACGAACAAGTATTAAACAATGAAACCAAGAGGGGGAGGGGAGGGAAGTCAAGCAAAAATAATGGTTTAATTTTTTGATTATGATGGTTTTTTTCTCCATTATATATTGTTGTTTTTATGTTTATTTTTTATGTTATTTTTGGAAAATTAATAAATTGTTATAAAAAACAAAAACCGTGTTTATGGAAGACAATCTTACTCGGTTATGAGTGATGGCCAAAGAAGAAGACTCCGTAATCTGACACCAACATAGACTCCATGGGGTGCAAGTCTCTGTGAAGAATGTAGGGGTCTCTACAATAAACCTTTATTACACCCACAGGGAGAGGTTAATCTCTAGGTTAATGTTTACTAAGACTTTACATAGATTTGTGTTCGTACGTTGGGCAGAAGTAAGGATATTTGATCATAGGGAATATTTTTGTAGATTTGTTGAGGCTATTTTTGCTCTGACCTCTCATTCTTGATGACTCAGGAATTACATGTCCATTTCAATGTTGGCTATTTTCCCATTTTGTAACTGGGACAACAAAATGGACCACAAACCATTCCTTTCCTCCTGCCTCAATCTATGTAATAACAACATCCCTTTACACAAATCCCGTTACACAAATCCAGTTGCTGTTGGATTAAAAAAGGTAGACAAGAGTGATAAGTTACCAAGCAAAAAAACAGGAATGCTTCTATTTTTTAAAAAAAGATATTTATTGAAGTTTCAACATTTTACAAAAATAAGAAAAAAAAAAGAAAAATACAAAGTAAAAACAGATCAGTTTTTCCAAATCTTATCTTTCATTTGCTTGTTTCCCTGACCTCCTCACACCTCCCTTTTTTGTATTCCAGTTCAATTAGTTAATTCAGCAAATCCTTTCCCTCTTTGATTTTATCTTAATCTTTTATCTTAATATATTATAGCCTTATATTATCACCTGTTAACAAACCATTTTACATATTCCTTTATAACATTGCTACTAAAAACCGCTTAACTTCAATCCAACATTATTCTAACATTCATTGATTTTGCAGTATTTCTGTAAATAGTCTTTAAATTTCTTCCAATCTTCTTCCACCGACTCTTCTCCCTGGTCTCGGATTCTGCCAGTCATTTCCGCCAGTTCCATATAGTCCATCACCTTCATCTGCCATTCTTCCAGAGTGGGTAAATCTTGTGTCTTCCAATATTTTGCAATAAGTATTCTTGCTGCTGTATTAGCATACATAAAGAAAATTCTGTCCTTCTTTGGCACCAATTGGCCGACCATGCCCAGGAGAAAGGCCTCTGGTTTCTTCAGGAAGGTATATTTAAATACCTTTTTCATTTCGTTATAGATCATCTCCCAGAAAGCCTTAATCTTTGGGCATGTCCACCAAAGGTGAAAGAATGTACCTTCAGTCTCTTTACATTTCCAACATTTATTATCGGGCAAATGATAGATTTTTGCAAGCTTGACTGGTGTCATGTACCACCTGTATATCATTTTCATAATATTCTCTCTTAAGGCATTACATGCCGTAAATTTCATACCAGTGGTCCATAACTGTTCCCAGTCAGCCATCATAATATTATGTCCAACATCTTGTGCCCATTTAATCATAGCAGATTTCACCGTTTCATCCTGGGTATTCCATTTCAACAGCAAGTTATACATCTTTGACAAAATCTTGGTTTTGGGATCTAACAGTTCCAATTTTGATTTTTCCACCTGGAAACCAATTTTCTTGTCCAAATTATATGCCTCCATTATCTGATAATAATGAAGCCAATCTCACACTTTATTTTTTAGTTTTTCAAAACTCTGCAATTTCAATTTGTCTCCCTCTTGTTCCAAAATTTGCCGGAATGCTTCTATTTTTAACCATGTTTAAGCCGCCTTTACACTTTAGTTGGGATGCGGGTGGCGCTGTGGGTAAAAGCCTCAGTGCCTAGGGCTTGCCGATCGTCAGGTCGGCGGTTCGAATCCCCGCGGCGGGGTGTGCTCCCGTTGCTCGGTCCCAGCGCCTGCCAACCTAGCAGTTCGAAAGCACCCCCGGGTGCAAGTAGATAAATAGGGACCGCTTACTAGCGGGAAGGTAAACGGCGTTTCCGTGTGTTGCGCTGGCTCGCCAGATGCAGCTTTCTCACGCTGGCCACGTGACCCGGAAGTGTCTCCGGACAGCGCTGGCCCCCGGCCTCTTGAGTGAGATGGGCGCACAACCCTAGAGTCTGTCAAGACTGGCCCTTTACCTTTACCTTTACAGTTTAGTTAGTTGGCATTCGTCTGTCTCAAGAGACAATGGAAAAGTGCACCATCAAGGGTAAAGTTAAACTGTTGGGTGAATTACAGCACCTGCTGTGTCTGTACAGACCAATATGGGTGAACTTCAGTTAATAACTGAAACAAAAGTGTTCCGAATCTGTTACACCATACACAAAATACATTTTATTATTTTTAAATACTTAAAAATAGAATATTAAACTGACTATGCATTCCTCCCATATCATATTGTCCTTGATAAATGGTCCTCCAATAAGGCTGGACACTAAAAAGTAGCAGGTACTGAAATACTGAGTACTGACGGAATCAGATGCAATGTGCACAATGAAACCAAAATATAAAATGCAAAATATTATACAAACACAAAATTTCAATTTCAATAGTTGCATCCCCATTTATTTCTCTTGCTGAATGTAAGAGGAAAATCAGGATCTATCATAACTGTTTGCATGTCTTTTAATATGTCCAACTTAGTATGTCTTGTAATGTTAGCTAAAATGAGTGAGTAATAATTCCTGACGAACTCGATCAGCTTCAGAGTCAAGTGATTCCATATGTTCATATTCTTCCTCTGGCTGTTCCATCTGTCCCATCGTTTGGGAAGACCACACATCCAGTCCATGCTCTAGAGAAATGTTATGAAGCACGCAGCAAGCCAGAATGATGTGGCTGGCCTTCTCGGGAGAATACTGCAACGTGCCCTTTGACCCATCCAGACAACGGAAGTGGGACCGAATTGTCCTGAATGTACGTTCAATGACATTGTGAGTGGCTGAATGTGCCATGTTATACCGGCACTCTGCAGGCGTTTCAGGAATATGCAGAGGGGTCATTAGCCAAGTGCGAAGAAAGAATGAACTATCACCTGTCAAAAGAAAAAGAAAGATCACAAACCAAACAGGGACAGGAGAGTGCAAATAATTCCATCATCTGATAATAAAACCAGGCATCTATATGAAGCCAGATATGTGTATGAAGCCAGGAGGGCAACCAAGATGATCAAGGGTCTGGAAACTAAGCCTTATGAGGAGCGCTTGAAGGAGCTGGCTATGTTTAGCTTGGAAAAGAGGAGACTGAGAGGAGATATGATGGCCATCTTCAAATATCTTAAGGCCTGTCACATGGAGGAGGGAGCATGCCTGTTTTCTCCTGCTCTGGAGGGTAGGACTCAAACCAATGGCTTCAAGTTGCAAGAAAGGAGATTCAGACTAAACTTTCAGTAAAACTTTCAGACAATAAGAGCTGTTGACCACGAGAGGTGGTGGACTCTCCTTCCTTGGAGGTTTTTAATCAAAGGTTGGATGGCCATCTGTCATTGATGCTTTCGCGGAGGTTCCTGCATTGCAAGGGGTTGGACTAGATGACCCTTGGGGTCCCTTCCAACTCTAAGATTCTATGTTTTATGCTACCCTATTATTCTGTTTCATGCTACCTTTGTTTGATTTATCTTTATAGAGGGAGAACTGTAAAATCTGCAGTTTTGACACATGTGGCATGTCACAGAACCAAACAGAAATTCCACCAAAATAGACTTTCAAAGATGCCAGTCATGAGAAAGAACTTACCAAGTAGCCAGCCATCTTTGTGCATGCCAGCTTCAAACTGGTTCCTGAGGGCTGACTGCTGCAGCACAGCACAGTCCTGCAAGCTGCCTGGCCAGTGTGTTTCCGCACTCAGTAGCATTCCCCTGGCGTCACAAACCATCAGGCAGTTTAAAGAATGAAGGCCCTTTCTATTCACATATGACAAGTCCTCAGCACTGGGTGCCTTTATTGCAACATGGTTGCAATCAACTAGTCCTAGTACCCCTGGCATACCTGCCAGCCCATAAAAGTCATCTTTCAGATGCTGCACCGACACTTCATCATCTGGGAAATGAATGAACTGAGATGCCCTCTCCACCAGGGCCTCAGTAACATTGGCAACACAACGGCTCATAGAGGCCTGGCTGATGCCAATGGCATCTCCCATGCGAGTCTGGAAAGAACCCGAAGTGTAAAAACCTAATGCAGCAAGAATTTGCGTCTCAGGGCTAATGGCCCTTGATCGTTGTGTAGGACGAGAAAGGCTGGCACCCAGAAGATCCACCAGATAGTAAATGAAGTGACGTGGGAAGCCATACATAGACACCAGATATTCATCAGTCACATCCTCCAGTTTGAAACGATCAAGTGTTCGATGGCCACGACCATATAGCAAGAGATCACAATCAAGAATGGCTATGGGAACAGCCATGATGGGTTGATCTTTCTTCTCTCTACTCACCTACATTGGAGCCAAAAAAAGGAAAATTGAGGACATGGATCCTAATAGCCTACTTGACTCTACTGTCAATTTCATACTAATTACACACAAATAAACCTATTGGCTTAAGTAAATAGGGTTTTGAAATTAGTTTACAAATGTACACTTTAATTTAACTTGGCATTTACACTAATTGCTATGAGACCAGATCATACAACTGAGAACACAAGGAAAAGAAATATAGAAAACTTTCCCACAGTCCTATTAACATGGCTGAGTCCTACCAGATAACATTCTACTAGAAAAGTTGACAATATTATCTCCATGGGATTCTGTTATTAATTTCAATGAAAGAGCCAATGAACCATGGTCGTAGTTCTGGGAAATTTCCAGTGGAAATTTTTTTGGAGCTGTATATAATTTCACACAGGGTCGTGGGACATTCTTGAGAAAGCAAGAATGCACAATTAGTACTGACCTTGGGTCATACGCAAAATTGGAACTGTTGAGTACATATTTCACAAGAAATTAGTGCTATGTTTACGTTCTCTCTCTGAACCGGTTAAACAAGACTAGGAAAATTTCTTTCTTTATGTGTTACTGCATTAAAATTAATTGGCTGTATGAGGCATGAGGGTGTGAATTGGCAAAACTTAAGCTGGTGATATTTTTAGAAACGTGCAGCACTGAAAAACAAAGAGTTGCTTTGTTCTAATGCTTGTTAGTAAGCTGTGCTGTCCCTCAAGGATATTTTTTCTGTTTGTCCAAGTGCACACACAATCTAGAATTCTGGAACAACTGGAGTTGATAAATGTACTGAAACTATGTGCCTAAGAAGAGCAAGTTATATAAACAGAGATGCTTCACCCAACCACTCTTTTCCATTGTTAAGCAAGTCAGTCATATTCTGGTGGCAAGGAGCTGCCCTGAGAACCAAGGAGTTCCAATCTTGCAAAATCAAAGTTTCAACAAAGTAATACTGTATTTCTTGTATCCTGTTTTTTAATGTCTACCAGTGACTCCCAGTAGTTATAAAAAAAGGAGGCAGGTAGGTGTCTAATTAAATAGCAATGTAAGGGGCACTTTGGTATCAGATATAGCCTATAAGTTTAGGGTGGTATCTCTACAAGAGAATTTTTCTGTTCTCAGTTGGAGTCCATTGCTGGAAAGAGCCAAAATGTTAATAAATAGTTTGCATTATCTCCTCATTCCTGTATGTAACAACCATTTCTCCCTCTTCATATACCCATGCATTGCATTACATAAACATAACATTCTGTCCCTCTGAATGTGTGGACAATGCTTGATTGTCATCCCCTCTCTCATAATAGTTGTGTTATTGTGCACTCACAAGATTAACAATTTAATAATAATAACAACCAAAAACCAATGGATTGAATCTGGTCTGATTCCTCTATGAACATCTGATACCAAAGGTGTGAATTCCCCAAAACAACTGAGGGATTACCTATTATTAGCCATCATTGAAAATAAGCCCACAAAAGTAATTAGCTCACCACCACAGCTTACTAAGAAGCCAGAAGTCTGTGTTGCCATGGTGGCCATGGAGGAGGGAAAGTCCCCTCTTCTGTGGCCAGCATGAAAATGCAAGCTACTGGACTCTTAGAAGGCAGCTTTTTTAACCAGCTTGCTAAGTGAAAGGGCATGCAGGAAGGAAGGGTTTATCTGCTCCACCTTCACTAGCCTATTTGGTGGTTATGAAGGAATAGGCTTTCTTTCCTGCCTGGCTAGCAGAGAAACCAAGTGGACTGGCAGAAAAGAGACCGAGTAACCCACTCCTCCTCCACCGACCTGTTCATTCACCTACATGAATTTCCTGGTCACCCATGAGTACCAGGCAAGTTGTCAAAAACAAGGCAGGGGTTACCTACGTCAATAAACCAACTCAGAAGACGTGCCAGCATACAAACAGACTCTGCTACCAAGACTCAGATACACAGTGGCAAATAAAACATTTTAAATGTGTTGTAGAGTGCAATATACAAATGTGGCACTAGATGGCGACAGTGAGCTATACAAAATTCAATGTATTTTTCAAAACTTTTTTTAAAAAAGCATTTTCATAGTGTTTTCTAAATGTGTGTAGATTCCAGCCAAGAGACTAAAAGATAAATGCTTTCCTTTTTCCAGCAATGAATACAAAAGTAGTTGCAACTGACATATGTGTAATATATTATTTTGTCTCAGTAACAGCTGAGGCAATATGTCTACTTAAAAAATTATTCCTGGTATTTAGCAGCTAGTTGTTAAGCCCACAATTAACTGTTGTAACTGATATGTCATTAATATCCCTATAATCATTTTGAGTTAAATAGATTTAGGAGGAAATGTAGCATCATTATCAATGTCTGAGAATGCAATGTTTTGTCTTGTAACATACATGAGACACATCTATATGTCTACAAAAACATGCAATAACCTTTGTGCAGCAAAATACACGTCTGACACTCAAGACTATGTTTGAAGAAGGAAGGCCATCTCCTGGCATCTGGTTAGTCACTGTGTGAGAGCACAATACAGAATCAAATGGGCCTGTGGTCTAATCCAGCTGGGTTCTCATGTGTCACTTTCAAGGTTTCATTCATGCTTCTCGGTTGAGCCACCAGGAATGACTTTCCTAAAGGACCCAAAGCATGAATGATGGAAGGTGAAGGGGTGCAAGAGAGGGAGAAGAATGGCAACGAGGCATTAAGCTGTTTGTGGTGGGAAGTGAAGGGCACCTGATGAAGCAGGAACTGCAAAAGAGAGCTGAAAAGCAGGCAAGTCTCTGCGATTCTAGAAGGACAAGCAAAGGGGCATGAATTTGCCTTATTGGAGGATCCTGTGAAAGCGGAACATGCAGCAGGGTAACCCAACAGTAGTTGTGGGAAATCTCACCCGCTCCAACTCTCCCCATCAGCACCGACCAGCATGGCCAACGGTGGTGCAACACCATCTGGTGGACCAGTGCTGGATTTACGTATAAGCTAAACAAGTTATAGCTTAGGGCTCCACTCTCTTGGGGGTCCCCAAAAAATTTAAAGGGGGAAAAATGGATGTACATTTCCAAAATATAAGATAAAGAACAAATAAAATAAAACCTACATACAGCAACAGTATTTTGTGTTGTGTAGGCTCCTATTTGTTATGTGCAAACGGCTTTAGTTACCTATTAGGTCCATAAATTACCATATAGCATATACAGTATTCAACACAAAAAACAGCGGCAATTTGTTGTTGACAAAGGACAGCTGGACATATAAAGTGCCCCATTACCTTCAGTAGCTTAGGGCCTCATCAAACCTTATTCCCGCCCTGTGGTGGACTACAAGTTCCTCCCTAGAGAAGCGGGGAGATGACTGACGGGGGGCGCAAGGGGGTCTTCCAGGGAGGACGGAAGCGGGAGAGGGGGCTGCGCTTGGCGAAAGACTGAAAGCGCAGGATATAAGCATGTTTCGCGGCGCAGCTACGCGTCCACACCTCCTTCTCCGCCGGGCCCCCGATTTACCCCGGTAGCGCAAGGGGAGCCTGTCCCGAAGTCCCTTCCCGAGGCGGAGCTCCAAGTCCCTCTCACGACGCCCGGCCTGTTCATTCCCAGTCGCAGATTCTTCACGAGACCGGCCCTTCAACCCTTTAAGACTCCGAGGTGGGCATTCCCGCCTCCCGCCGATACTTAACGGCTGCGGGCTGGCCCACTGGGGCGGGGGGGGGAGGGGTCGCTGATAACGGGAGGCGGGTCCTCGTCTCTGTGGAAAGTGCCGCGGCGGATGCGGAGTCAGCACTCCCCGCTCGCCCTGAGCGGATGAAAACAAACAGCAGCAATGGCGGCGGTGGCGGGGCGGCGGCTGCAGCAGGGGGAGTCTGCTGCCGTGAGGGACACCCTGGATGTGTAACCTGCGACGACGGGCAGGTCGGCTTGTAGGGCTGGCAGACTGAGCGACTTCTCCTCGAAGGCCGTCGCCGGTTCCTCAGAGCCTTCCTCGAAGGGGCGGCGCAAGCGGAGACTTCACTCGTACGCGGGCCAGCCATCCTCGGGCATTCCCAACCCCTTCCCTGGGCTGGACCAAGCACTGGGCAGCGGCGAGTGGAGGGCGGATATTGGTCACCCGCCTCGGGGCCAAAGGTCCCAACAGGCCTTCTCCCCAGCAGGCGCTGTTTTCCCGGCAGGCTTGGGCTACGAATCTACGAAACCCCCACCCCCCGCCATATTCCCAGACGGGGCTGAGGAAAGCCTTGTCCCGCGCGGGAATTGGGCAGCGGAGCCGAGCGCGAAAGGTGCGCTAGGAAGAAGGGAGAGGAGAGGCGGGCGGGCCTCAAGTCTGCGGGGCCGGAGGGGTCTTGGTGCTGCGAGCCCCCATTGGGGTTCCTGAGGTGGCCCCAGCAAAGGACGTTCACTGCCACGTCTCCACTCCGAGGAAAGAAGCCACAGGAGGCGGCGAGGGCGGCACCTTCCAGCCCTTCGAGTCGAAACCAGCCGCGAGGATTTCGGAGAGGCCCACTGGGTCTGACCATGAGGAGGGGCTAGGACAGCCTCCGGGCTCGTCCCCGGAATGAGACCCCGAGCCGTCACCTCAGCCTTCTCCCCGCAGGTAACCCCCCCTCCCCGCACCTCAGATGCACATAATTTGATGGGTTTCGACTAGGCTTCTGCTGGAGTAGGGTGATGGGTCTGCTCCCACAGAGTAAGTAGGGGTGGGGAGAGCAGCGGACCACAGTCTGTATAGAGTTGTGGGTAGTAGGGAAAATAGGGCTGTGAGGACTGTTTATTTCTAGACAAACCTTTCAGAACCTAAGGAGTACTGAAAATAAAACCTCCTTGAGGATGTGATGTAATCAACGTATGACGCGGCACGTGCATGACCTTGGGTTTAAACCCAGCTACACCACTAAATTTCTTAGCATGTTTGATGTGGGAGCTTGAATATATCGGTAATTTATTTCATGACCTTGTCAAAAGGGAGTTTTGTTGACTAAGGTTGTTTCAGATCTGCTGTTGATAACTGATTAAGCTGCTTTAAAGCAACAGTCTTCAAAGGATTCCAGCAACACAGGACCTATTTTCACTAACCAGTTCTACATCATGTTTTCCTTTGAGGATCAAGCTGCCAATCTTTATGCTGCATACTTTGTCTTCATCATGTGATCTGACCTCATGGGCTTTTGATCTAGAGATATTTCTAAATCTTTCAGGCAACAATGTGACTGAAATAATGTGAGGCTTTTCTAACTCTTGGGCCACAATTCAACACAAATTCAAGTATGCTTCAGTTCACTGAAATCTTAACCAAAACAGTGCAATTCTACTACGAGGAGTGGGACTTTCTCTCTAGTTAATATGTTTAGTATTTCAGTCTTGGTGTGCCTAACTCTGCATTGGAATGTGGCTCTGGGTCTTTAAAATACCTATTGCATAATGGAAAAACTAGGCCATTCGCATAAACAAAAAATAGTTTAGTTAGAATCACTGGCTTTTTTGTATTTCAATAACAGAAAAGGCATTTTAGAAACATGTTTTTATTTGCCTTAAAATTACATTTCTTCATTTCTTTTCTCCTATAATTTATATTAACTTGGGGACTAAGCAATGTTTGCTACCTTCCAGTTTGTTGTAATAACAAGAATAAAAAAGTTGATAATCATAGTTTGGTTCCTATCAAGAAGAAAATCTAGCACAAAACCTAAAATAGGGCTGCTTCATATTTACAGGAGTTAAGGCATATGCCTCTGTGTACTATATCTGCCGATAGGATTCCTTATAAAGTGTTAGAATTTTATGTCTGCTCTAGTTGATTTTCATGTATGCTGCATTCACTGAAGGACCCCAGAGCCAGCCATGGCTTTTGATGACATCTGTAGAGAGCATATGAATAAAACAGAATTGCATGGTTCTTGCACATAGTGGGCAGTGTTGTAGGTACACATATTATACTAGACACACTGGAAGCAGCCCTCAGGAGGTACAAAATGGGGAATTCTTGTAAGCTGTCTCACTATTTTAGGAAATAGAATAAATGGGGATAAGTGAACCATAGGTCTTTAGGACATCATATTTAGTATTTTCTCCAAATTTAGAAATATATGTTCATGATGTAACAGAACTAATTTTCATTCCAGAACAAAATGAGATCCAGCTTGTCAAGTTTATAGACATATGCTTTCTATCATAGAATCTGTACTAAGAGCAAATTCAATTATCCAAGTGTCAGTGTTTATGTAATCAAAACATTACCATGCATGCACAAGAGAGAGATATCAGCAGGCTTCTGGGTATCCCAGCTTGCAAAAGTACTAAAAATCTTTAGGTTGAGGCAGGGCAGTCAAAACAGCCCATTGAAGGCTGAGTACATTGACTGAGGTGGGTGATGCCAGGAGTGTAAGGAAGGAAGGCTTGGCTGACTGGAGCACTATACAGAAGCACTCCATACTGCAACGTATTCTTACTGGCCCAAAATATTATATAGTCAGTTTTATTCTAATGTTGTTAAATAATTTATAATTATTATTACATGTAGCTGTTGTTGTTTTTTAATTCAGGAAATCAGTAACTTACAGTGGATTCCCACAAACTCTCCTTTCCAGGTACTGAGCAGGCTAAAATTTCTTACCTTTAACATTACACTCAGTTCTCTGGGTCCAAGAAAGACTAATGGTGAGGTGGCATACATTAGATCTGCCTGGACTTGAATTCAAGGATAATTATTTCTTCTGAAAGAATCAACCCCTAAGTTGGAGCTCTATCTAGTGTTTCTTGTTCCTCTTAGGAGATTGTGATGCAAATGTTGCCAAGACAACTGCTCCCTACTCTCAAAACATGGTAAACAGGCAAAGGAGGAGCAGGTTCATAAATGCTTTGTGTGTCACCCAGAAGAGATTAGCTTTTATTTGAATTTTTTTATTGGGATCTTTTAAAATGTTTTCCTGCTTTTAAGGAGTTTGCACTAGAGAAAGCAATGCTGCTGTTAATTGGAAAGCCTTGTGAAATAGAAAACTGTCTTATACTGAGTGCATCTAGCCCAGTATTGGATATTTTGACTGGCAGTAGCTTTCAAAGTTGTTGATCCAAAGCTTTTCACATCTTCCTGTTACCCAAGTACTTTTAACTGGTGATTAAACCTGGAGCTTTCTGCCTCCAAAGTTAATGCCTTACTACTGAGCTACAGTTCATCCCAAAGCGAATGATCTTGTAACCTGAGAATCATGAAGTATCTCTGATATTCTAGTACCTTGTGAAGGTTCTAGAATCACTGCACTGAGAGACTTAAACAGTATAATTGTCTATCCTGTCTTCTCATTGAAATACTATATGGGTTGAGGTTACTCATTTCTTAACACCCTTTGTTTTAAATGTGTCTGCCAGAATAGAGAGCAAAGAAAGCTGTTTCCTTACCCTGTAAAAAGAAACCTGCCACCACAGTGTTATTAAAGAACAGTTTTGACCTGAGAGAAGGTGATACCTAGCTTTGGGGGGGGGGAGTCATTGTAATTTGGTTTTGCTGCTTTATTACACAGTTTTAATTAACACTTATTAATTTAATTTTTTTTGTAAACCACTTTATGAGATTCACCTGAAAAGTGTTATATAAACAACAACAACAGAAATAGAAATATTTTGCTTTAGATATGCTGTGTATTATAGTTACTCAGGAAAGAGGCACTAAAAGCAACAAGGGTTTAGAGTAGGATTGGTCCTGTGGAAATTACCACCATGCAGTAAAGCGCAAGCATGTCTGAAATATACAATAGACCATCACAAAGAAGGTGTGTCACATATGTGAATTTGTGTTAGATTTCCATTATGGAAGTTCTTCTTCAAAACTTCAAAAATGAAATTTTTGATAAGTGCTACAGTTTGTGTGTATTGGTTTTCATGTGGTGATGGGGGTGTCAGTCGCAAAAAAATATGGCTTTCTGAAGCATAGAACCCAATAGTTCCCTGACCTGACTGGCTCATAGGTAGAAAAATCTCACCTTTTAGATAATGTTGGTTATCCTCTGGGCTGAAAATAAATATTCTGACATTCAGGCTCCAGCTGTGTTCAGTAACATTGGTATATCACTGAAGAAAATAGTGTGTGATGTTTAGCACGATCCCCTCAAATTCACAGGACAAGTTAGTCAACTTGTGTTCCATTGATTTCAGTGGGTCTTCTCAAGCACGACTTAGTCTGTATCCAGCTCATGATCCATATATTGGTCAAATTCTGATAAATAAAACTTTATTTTCAACAAGCAAACATGCAAATTTTCCTAACCACAGCTTAGGTAAAATCTGTTAGCCCTTTTTGTTCTACATTGCATTTTATCTGTCACAGTTTCATGATAACTAGGTAGGTATCATTGTTCATTTATCAAGAAATGAAATAGTTTATCAAATATCACACCTGTTTAGTGAAAGAGACAGTATTGTTCAGGTATACTCTGCACTTTTGCCCAGTGCTGAGTCCATTGCATTTTAACATATTGTTGCAAGGAATGTTCCTGTGAAGCATTATGGGATGGTGGGGAGTGTCTGGTGGTATCTTGAGGACATTTATTATGGCATGAACTTTGACAGACTAGCACCTGCTCATAAGTATGACTTGTTATTTTTATTTAGCACATAGCTACAGTAGGGCTGT